TGTGCCAAAGCGCAAATGTTACAAATCATTTTTGGCGCTGTTAGAAATTTTTAAGTGGCACCTGGGGTAGTTTATCGTCCGTAAGGGTGCCTTCCGAAACATCAATCCAATCGGCCTTTTTTTCACAAGCTCTCGGCATGAATATGTTGTCGTGTGCCAAAGCGCAAATGTTACAAATCATTTTTGGCGCTGTTAGAAATTTTTAAGTGGCACCTGGGGTAGTTTATCGTCCGTAAGGGTGCCTTCCGAAACATCAATCCAATCGGCCTTTTTTGCACAAGCTCTCGGCATGAATATGTTGTCGTGTGCCAAAGCGCAAATGTTACAAATCATTTTTGGCGCTGTTAGAAATTTTTAAGTGGCACTAGGGGTAGTTTATCGTCCGTAAGGGTGCCTTCCGAAACATCAATCCAATCGGCCTTTTTTTCACAAACTCTCGGCATGAATATGTTGTCGTGTGCCAAAGCGCAAATGGTACAATTCATTTTTGACGCTGTTGGAATTTTTAAACTCACACTAGGGGTAGTTTATTGACCGTAAGGGTGCCTTCCAAAGCATCAATCTAATTGCCTTTTTTTCATCCGCTCTCGACATGAATATGTTGTCGTGTGCCAAAGCGCAAAGCGCGAAAGTTAAGTTTGACGATTTTATCTGTAAATTCTTTATAAATTTGGGAATAAAGAATTTTATAGATACACATTAGCTTGAAAGTAATTAAATTGCTAGTCAATTTAATTGTTACAAATAATTTTCGCCTTATGTAATAAGCTGTACTGACCTATATGTACATGCTAATACGTCTTATTTTTGCATTACAAGCAAAATTGTGTTTATCAACCTAATATGTAAAGATATACAAAAATGTGTAAAAATTAAGTTAATTATTAAGTTAGTCATTAAGTTAATATTTCAGTTTAAATCATTAAGCCAATCAGTAATTATGTAAGGTATTTATTAGTTAGTCACAAAGTTAATTTCATGTCTGTATTGTTATTTTAAAGAATTTCAGCCGCTAATATTGATTAACTTAAATTATTTATGATTTGAAATGTATTCGCGCTTCGATATTTTTGTATTAGAATTTCGACTCAAAATTATCTCAGGAATACGCTATTAAAATAAAATGCGTTAGATGTGGGGTACCCTGTACATATAAGTATAATATTGTATATATACTTTTAAAAGTGTTAATGTATAATTAGTTTTTGAGTTGTGACAATATTTATGAAAATATAATTTCCAAATTCCAAGTATTCATCATAATAATAAGTTTGTTTATACACAGCAGATGGAGCAATAATCAACTTCTTGGCATGAGATACGTTCAGTAGTTATCATTGTCGTTTATATGAGAGAAAGTGAGAAAGCAAAGAAGAGGTGGGAGAAATAAAACGGACGTTTGTGCTAAATCGCCTATTAATTCGAACGATAGTTGTAATTGAACGGACAGACGAGAAAGAGAAACAACTCTGCCGCATCAACAAGATCTAGTAATAAGCGGCTAAATTTTATTTTGAGAACTTGGAATGTCGTTATAATTAGTACAGTTATTAGTAGCTCTCTTATATATTTTGTTCTTTTAGTGCTCAAATTCATATTAGTGCATGTACGTACGGATTACATATCGTAATAATATATTCTTTGAGATATATTCCTAACTGTTCTGCACTCTTCAATGTTTTTCTTATTAAAGAAAATGTCAAACTGAAGCTGGAGAAAAATTGGACTGCATCAGGTTCGTATTAATAATTATTTTTTATTACTGATAATCTATAAATTCTACATCTCTATAAATTCTATAAGGGATTTATTTTTTTTTATATAGATATTTTATTCACAATCCATATAAAAATGTCAAATTGTATTAAGCGAAATAATTAATGTTTGTCCCAATTGCATATGATATTCGACTTACTAAATTATAAATTTTATCTAATATTATTCTAAATTATTCTGTCTCTGCGAAATGAAAATTTCACAGAGACAGAGATTTTAAATGATTTGAGAAGAAGAGAAACGATCTTTTTCGCAAATTTGTAATAGCTATCATATAAGAACAACAGCAAGGAATTTTATTTTCGAATATATGTTTATAACTTGACTACGGTTTTGAACTTTTGTCTTGATTTGTACTTTCTTCGAGATATTGTTTTGATCCTTGAACATACAGTATTCGAACAATAAACTTATAAATACTCGAAAAGAACGAAAAGAAATTTTAAAGAGAAAAATTGATTGTTTTGTTAATTTTGATTTGATAACAATCAATTATTCTATTTATCAAAACTCCAAAAGATGTAATATAATAAAAGATAACGTACTAAATAACTATTAAATCTTGAAAGTATATAAGTCAAACGAAAAAAGAAAATTTATAATTGTTTTAGAAATAACAATAACGCACTTTTCTACGAAATGTATTATTGTCTAATTTTTTTAGTTTAACTTATTGTTTTGATATAAGCAAAACAATTATGCTATTACTGAGCAATGTAAAATTGTAAGTGAAAACTTTCGCAATTTTCGCTGTTTACAAATGAGAATGAAACAAAACCGCAAAGACTAAGTAGGATATTAATCGCTGATCGCTTAACCGAGTATCGTGAAAAATGACGCAGTCTATTCTCACATTATTTATCTCGATCACATTCATGTGATTCGTGAATCCAAAATCTAGTTCTTTTTGCAAAATCTTCCTGAATGTATAAACAAAAGAAACGAGAGAATTTATGAATTCACTCTTTCTCTAACATATATATTTCTCTCTTCTCTCATTTTTTATACAAGAAATTTCTTATATATATGTGTATTCCTTTATCTGTGTTATTATATGATAATAAGTTATACAATAGAAATCTCTAAATTTAGTTAACTGTTTTACAAATCAATTGTTTTGCCCAATTATAAATTTTTTTATTAAATACGTACGTGTATACGTTCCGCATGGATCATTGATGACCAACACTGTATTTTCAGACCTGCATTTTGATAATAATTAATGTTTTGTGTAGTTTTTAATAAAAAATTTCACTTATCAAATATAATAAATATAAACAAATATTTATATACATATACGTATAGAATGCCGGTAATCTACGTACATATACGTATATAGCGCGCGCGCGCGCGCGTGTGTGTGTGTGTGTGTGTGCGTGCGTGCGTGTGTGCGTGTGCGTGTGCGTGTGTGCGTGCGCGCGCGCGCGCGTTTTGTATCTTTAAAACATACTTTTCTTAAAAATATAAAAAAAAGAAATCAATTTCATCTAAAGCGTCAGTGTATAAATATGTGATATAAACTTATTACATCAATTTTATTATAAATTCTATATCAATAATATATTATGTGTATACATAAAACATGTGTACAATCTATTTTGATGTGTCGATCTATATCAAAATTATTTTCAACCGCTATTTATCATACCATTTATTGGTAAAAAATACCTTGTAAACAAAAAGTGTTAATAATAATAAATTTTCAGACATCTTATTGAAATCTTATAGCCAACAATTTTTAAATAAATAACAGTTGAAATAATCTTAATATAGATTGAAGCGTTTTATGTCTAAACACAGTCTGTATATTGTCCATTTCTCAACATCTTCGAATTTAACTCGGATTGATTTTTTGTATCTTCTTTTCCTTTTTTTTTTATTAACAATTCTTTTCTTTTATTTCCATCTATGTATAATTATATATTTAACTTATTATTATTTTAATTTTTTTTATTTTTTGTATAATTAAAGATAATCTTATTATATTAAAATATAATTTTATACTTTAATTAATATTTTCAATTTACCAATTTTTTATTCGTAAAATGTATGTCAGAGTAAATTAAATACCTATCTGTATTTTTGATAATTTTTTATTATTATCTTTTACAAGTTAATAATTCCATCTTGTATAAATATCTCTAATTGAAATTTCAAATAATTTCTCCCTTACCGTACATTTTTCTATTTATTATTATGATCTTAATATATATCTCGCTTAGAATTTCGAAATACTACGGCAATTCAACCTTCAGTAGAAGATAATATTATTTATTTGAAATTTGCAATATTAGCTGGAAAATATTGAAAGTATAATATCTTTCTATTTATGGAAATATATTACATATTTTAATAAAAGTATTTATGAATTCTAATCAGTTATAAATTCTCGTCTTGATTTTATGATAGAAATTATTAAAAACAATAGATTTACCTAATTTTATATACAATTTTACACACACACACACACACACACACGCGCGCGCGCGCAACATTGTACACTATATAATACATATGTAATTCATTTCGTTAATAGTCGTTAATAGTCGACATAATATATTTTTCACATTGGGTGAAAAAGGCCATGCAATTTCAATTTTACTATTGAAAGCAAATGTATACTCTATATTAATGAGAATTGTAAAAATTATATAACTAAAACTTAGTATACTTAATATAATTACAATCTCGAAACTCATGTACTGCATTACAAAACAAGTCAATTAAGATGCACGTAATTAACAGTATAGTAAAAATAATGTATTCAGATCATATGCATTTTATAAAGATTTATTACTATAGTCACAGCATGAGTACGTTTATATGATACATTTACATATTGTTTGATTAGTCAAACCATTTGTTTATACATCATATTCTTTGACTTTGTTACTTTAATTGTTTTTAGCATTAGTCTTTTATAAAGAGATACTTAGACGATTTTATATGTTTACAGAAAAAATTTGGAAAAGAAGAATAATTTAATCTTTGATTTTGTATCTTCCAATCATTACATCACAATTCCAATTTATCGAAAAGTGAACGATCATTTTTCCCTTTGCAATAAGTCATAACTTTTGTCACTTGTCTCCAAGGCCGGACAATCTGTCCACAAAAATTCAATATATCTGAAAAATTTATGCAGTATCCGAATATCATGAATGAATATCAAGCTAATCAATTGATCAAATTGAACACTACGTCAAATATGACTCCATTAGAGTTTCGCTCCAGTGAGAATATCAATTCTATGCGGAACATTTTACAGTGTCCGTTATGTATATTCACTGCATTAAACAGGTATGCTACATAATTAATCTTCTAATTAGAGCACCTTATATAGGCATTTTACATCAAGCTTATATATTTATTTAAATTATATAGTATATACAATGATCTTGAATGTGATATTTAAGTGTTTAACGAAACCATATAATATTAGTTTAGTAAAATTCGAAAGCATACAAATATTAAATTCGTTAAACATTAAATTCATTAATTTTTAGGTCAGAATTCGCCGAACACTTAATTAATCATTGCACACTGAAGAGCAACAATTCCAGTTTTAAAGCCATCCTTACATCCTTATTAAATCAAGATGCAGGTGACAACTTTCGTTCTCCTTTTACACTAACGAAATATATCCAACACGAGACAGAAAAGACCGGCGAATCATCCGTTCATGTTTCCTGCGTGAATTCGCAAAGCAACGTAAGCTTCAGACAAGATGGAAAAGGCTTCCGAGAGGCTAAGAATTGCAAACAGTGCAATTTTATAGCTAGCACGAAAATCGAATATTGGCAGCACATGCGCTGTCATATCAAAGGCTTTACATGCTCCGAGTGCTCCTTTGTTACCAAGTATAAGCATCATATGAATCATCATTTGCTTAGTGTTCACGACGGCTCCAAGCCCTTTAAATGCAAAAAGTGTTCATATAGGTGCGTAAGTAAATCGATGCTAACCAGCCACCTGAAGAAGCACTCAAATATCTATCCGTACAGATGCGCGGATTGTACGTACAAAACCAAGTTCTGTAACGCGCTAAAAAAACATTTACGGAAGAAGGAGCATCAGCCAGCGATGGTGTTAAACGCTGACGGTTCACCGAATCCGCTATCCTTCATCGATATTTATGGTACCAAACGCGGACCCAAGCAGAAACCATCGACTAAAAATCAGGAAGTATCTATAGTAGAGACTTCTCCACCTTTATCTTCATTTAATTCGTCAATTGCTCGTTATTTAACTGTGACTGCGATAAACGGAGTGAACAATGGGAATTGGTTAAATCATAATGACATAAATAAAAATCAATCTATCGCGACGTTTCCTTACAGCGATTTGATCGCCGCGTTCAATTTGTCGAATCACGTTTTGCTTCGCGAAGATGAGACATTCGCAAATCATGAAAATGTGCAAAAAATAGATCGTGCTGCACAATTCAGTACGTTAACGGAGTATGCAAAGATTTTAAATACGGAGGACGACGTAATACCGCAGATATTTGCTCTAAGTCCTGTATCTCATTTCGATGTAATTAATAAACACTGCAGCGAATCTCATAATTCCGATAGTGTGAAGGCAGCTTCCAACGAATCCTCGACATTCGTGACAGTAAAAACCCTGCAGCTAGAGCGTCAAATGACGGAATCTGCAGACATGCCGTTGGATCTCTGCATGACTGATGTGCAGATAAGAAAGAATCAGTTTCAGTTTCAGGCATTAGCAAATATGAATTCATCAAAAATTTCAGGTACCAGCAAACGTAAAGGTAAAGCGATAAAGCTGGAACGTCGCTTAATAAAAGAGAACACGGAAAAAAAGCTAGAGAAAAACGAAGATATATCTTTTAAATCTTCGTCGGACAACAGATCCGATTTTCGCCAAGTAAGCCAGAAAGTCAAAGACACTAAGAACGAAGCTGTTCCTAATTTATTCGACATCAAACTCACCTGTCACTATTGTGAGATCATATTCGGCAATGCGATCATGTACACCGTGCATATGGGTTGTCACAGTTTTGATAATCCTTACACATGCAATATATGCGGCTACCAATGCACCGATAGATTATCTTTTTTTATGCATATCGCTCGGTCAGAGCATTAAGGTAAAGCAAAAATAAAAATATCTATAATCGAACGATCGATGTGCTTTGATCTAAAGAAAAAAAATTTTTCATAAATGTACAGTTGTGACACAAAACCATTTGGCGAATAAATGGAATAAACTATAGGCTAGGAAAGATAGGATAAGAAAAAATTTTTCAAGATAATTTTAATCGAAAATATTGAATAAAAATGCTTTAACAGGCGTTATTTGCATTTATCAGTTCGATATAAAATTAAAATATACACATATACATATATAACTTTAAAAAATCTGAAAGTCATATATATCGATTGATATCGTACACGTACACACGCACACACACGCGCACACACACACACACACACACACACGTTCGTATAATATCTATACATATATTCAATACATACGATCAATCAAATCGATTCGACAGATAAATTTCGAACCATTTTCAAATGATTATTTTTATTTTTAAGAAATACACAAATTATTATTTTGAGATATGTACTATATATAATTGTATACACCTTGAGTTTTGTTGTTATTTGATTAAACTGAAATGAACAGATGTATTGTAATTAATATATATTGTAAAAGATGCCCGCCAAAACAGGTTTTTTTCGTCTATCTTGTGAGTTTCAAAATTCAAATTAAATATTGTATGCCAATAAACGATGTTATACGATTCGACATTAATCTTTCAATTAGACAAATTTTTAATTGAGCATAGAGACAATTTTAGAGCAAACGGGGAATCAAAATAGCCAAATTTTCAACCCTGACTAATTCTAGTAAAAATCCCTATTATAAACGAAATTTTGACTTTTTTTGTGTCCATTTGTGTTTGGACAATGTTGGAAATTTGGGTATGTTGACTCCCCCTTGCCAAAACTTTATACCTTTATATATGTGTTCAACTAAAATTTTTTCTAAGATTAACATCCCATCAAATAGCATTTTTTAGCATACAATTTAATTTGCATTTCAAGGGTCACAAAATGAGCAAAATTTGCGATTACTCTTTAATTTTCATTAATTGTTATATTTTTGTAATGATGAAACATGTATGGAGATCACTTTTGCATGTATGTACGTAAGATTAACATAGATATTATGCAGATCTCAATCTTTATATCAACGGGAACTGAATATAAGAAGGAAATAAATCGAAATAATAAAGAACGCTATAATGATTTAGATTAATATTCAGCATTTACTACACGATTTAATTAAGTAATTATCAACCGGATACCTTAAATATTTTTCCCAAATGCAATCTATATTTGCATTGATTTGCTTTCTTAATAAATTGACAATTTAATGCAAAAGTTTCCATTGGTTAAAAATTTTGAATTTTTGTGTTGCAATAAAATAAAATTAGACAATTTATTTATGTATATAATATATGTATATACACATATATACAATATATAATATAGTGAGTTAAAGAATTAAGTTTACAAAATCTCAAAGAATACTAAAACATAATATCTATAATTTGAGACTGACAATGAGAAATAATTGAGAAATATAATAAATATAATTTTTTATTTATTTCTCAATAGTTGTTATATTTTTTCATTCTTTGAAATTTTGTTAAATTTTGTCAACTTTTCTTCTTAGAAATCTATAAATTTTTTCAACGGTATATGGTTTATGTTATACGCACTTACATATATCTGATATACAGTTAGCGAAGCAAAAATCCGATGACAAATTTATAGTATATATTATTAAAGAATGCTCGATTTTTTTTACGATTTCACACGCATTATTATATATGTTTCTGGATTATTTTCCATTTTTGTTCTGTTCTCTTCTGTTTGATGCATGCTCACTGTTTATTTTTTCTTGCAATAATATCAATGACCAAAATCTTATTAAACGGATACATATATAAATTCTCTTTTTGAAGAGCTTAAATTTGCTTAGACTTTTTCGAAGAAAAATTGTTTTTATTTAAAAACTATATACCTTTTTTACGTCCAAACTCTTTTGTTGTCAGTTTAAAGTGATGTATAATTAGTGATGTATGTTTTTATTTGTGAGTTAGACATATCGATATTACGCCGAATTTTCTTTATGCGCATGTAAATCTTACATATTATAGGTACAAACTTGATATTGATTTGATTTATAGTGTAAATTACGTGTACTATAGGCGTATATATTCTTTTTTATTTACTAATTTAAACCATATATTCTTGTTTTCTCTTCAAATTTTCGGTCATTATATGCGTATATCGTACGACTGCTTTATTTATCCTATCTTGGAAAATTATATATCAGGGATTTTTCTTTACATACATATATATATGTATGCTGATGTGTGTATATATAATATATATAGTTATCTTTCTTGAGTATTATATTCTTGAATATTTACGTTTCTTTGAAGCAATAATTAAATCAATATATAAAGCTTAAGAAAAAAATTGCATGACAAGATTGTGATAATTGTATCTTATGAACGCAATGGACTGCAGTATATATATATAAAAATTGTGCAGATACATATATAGACTGCACGTTGCATTTATGTATACTTATATATATATACGCGCGCGCGCAGTTGAGAATGCTGTGAATATATTTTTCAAACAAGCAATACAAAGAATTTGTTATATATTTCTCTAATGCAAAGCGCTTTTATGTATTGTAAAGATCAAAAGTCTTGAGCAATAAAAATTAGTTTCAACATTTAAACTGTATTATCAAAACAGGTAATTTATTTTAAAATTAGTATTTATTATATTAAGTTTTAAATATCCTACAAAACGAAATAGAATCGAATAAAAAATACACACGCACATTTATACATATATACATATACATATATAATTATTTATATTGATGAGTATCGCGATGTTATCGACTGTCGATTGAATTTTTCGATTTCTCGCAGTAATATAATTATATAATATGTATATATGTGTATATATATATATATATATATCTTTATATTGATACATTCACGAAAATTTATTCGGGGTTGGTAGTCTTTAATAGTACCTCGTCGGTGGCGTATTAAATATATACATACATATATCAGGCGATCAGACGCGACCGACGCGACGTAATTCTAAATTCGCCATATCTCTCTTCATTCTCTTCATGCTCTTCACATGTAAGTTCGGCTTGCTGATCGTAGAGAGTGCTGCGTGGCGAGACTGGCGAGTTGCGTGATTCCAGTCTACATCGAAAATGAACGTCACATATGTAAATGGCGTGGAGTATATATGACGTATCGACAATATAAAGAAAAAAATTACTTACGTTGTGAGTGCTTTGTTAAGTCGATCTGTTAACACAAAACGCAGATCGCGTTGTAGCGGAAATATATATATACATATATATATAAACAATCTGTATATCTGTTCTCCACGGTAGTAAACGCGGCACTTGTGTACAGAAGGATGGCGAGTTGACCTATCCCGAAGAATGGAATGTCTTGTACAACGGTATGTTTCGATGATAGACGTACATACATATGTGCCTACGCGTGTGTTACACGATTGGTGCGCCTGATGTATGCATATAATAAGTCTATCGAAATATAATTATTACACTTTGATCGTGTGCTATAATTTCTTTTACTTTCTTATCTCTTTAAAACCAATGATTCACGCCACATATTGATGGTTACGCACGGTTAGGTTTCCTCGATGATATCACTTTATCTCGCATTGTCCTCGCGCGATGGATAATTTTCAATCTTTATTACGATTTCAGCCATAACAGTCGTATTTATCGTATTTTGTCGTAGGTTTGTATTTTGTACCACAATCGCATTTTTATTCCGTCTAATACGTCGATTCTTGCTACTTGTAATGATATTCAATTTGCTGCATTTGACTCCGTGCGTGTAATATTTCAGTAAAAAGTGAGAGAGCAAATTGCCCTAAGATTATTAGAAGATTATTATTATACTGCACACGCTATATCGTGTTTTATTATATGTATATTTACATCATGAGTAAACAGGATAGACGTTTGCACAATGACACTGGTTGTAACGCTTGTTCGTCCTGCTTACTTTTTTCCATAAATAAGTGAGTGATTAGCACAACTTAATGATGTTTTCTGTCTGACTTTTAGAGCATTGAAATAAAATCGATCCATTTGGTGCTACTGTACAAGGTACAAGGTAAGTGGTAGAAAATGTTGAATAATACTACAATTTATTTATTAATAGAGAGATGCAATTATTTATTGTATAAGCTATAGCGATTTACGGTAGTTAATAAAGAAAATCCTTCATTTCTTTTTAATCTAGATCTTTATTTGATCTTTTTACTTAAAATTTTCACTATATTCAACGGGTCGCTGAATAACAGTAGTTGATTGAAAATCTTTACCAATATACCTACAAAAACATGGACGATCATAGTCAAGTTTTTCAAGACAAACTAGCAGTTTCTTAGTTTCTATCAGGTCTTACAATAGGTTGATTTACAAGCTTTGCTAAGTTTGTGTAAATGCTTAAAAGAAGTATGTTTCTTCTAAAAAATAACATTACTCATACTGTAACGCCGAGTTACTTATAGTATAGATATAAGCATATAATTAAGATAAAAAATGATATCTTGTTTTTCTTTCGAGATGGCGGATGTTGATCCTGAGACTTTGTTAGAATGGCTCAGTATGGGGCAAGGAGACGAAAGAGACATGCAGTTAATTGCATTAGAACAGTTGTGCATGCTGTTACTCATGTCCGATAATGTGGATCGTTGTTTCGAATGGTAAAAATAATTGCAATTAACTGGAATTTATGAATGTTGTACATATGTAATGTATAAATATTTTACATTATATACTTTCTCAGTTGTCCTCCACGCACATTCCTCCCAGCGCTTTGTAGAATCTTTTTGGATGAAATGGTGCCGGACAGTGTACTTGAAGTGACCGCTCGAGCTATCACATATTATTTGGACGTCTCCGCGGAATGTACACGCAGAGTGGTTGCCATGGAAGGTGCTGTAAAGGCCATCTGTAGTCGCCTCTCTGGTGCTGGGCTTGGTTCTAGAGTTAGTCGAGACTTGGCGGAGCAATGTATAAAGGTACAATACATTGAATCGGACCAGCGAATAACATGTGAAATTTCTGAAAAGATAAATTGATGAAATCTTACCTTCACACGCACACACGCACGCACGCGCGCTGATAAACAAGAGACATAAAAACTGATAAAAGCTCATATAAACATGTGCCCCATTTGGCACTTTCTTTCCATATTATAGTCATATTTTATTCCAGTAATATGAAGCTGCTTATAAGAAATGCTCAAAATAACTACCTTCGGCCTGATGCAAACGTGCAGACGTCGTCGTATATATTGTCGCGCATTTTCAAAAATATCAGTTATTCGAATTTGTTGGCAACAATTTCTTGAATTGACGATTTCCTAACATGAATAGATTTTGCAGGACTTATTGATTGGCCTACGCGTTCTTCGGACTTAAATTTATTAAATGAGTATCAGGAATAGCTGTGGAAAGTTACCTAACAAATGAGATCTTAAAATGTCAACACGGTACAAAGTGGATCTTGATGCTTTCATATAATATTAGTGTGAATCTTACGGCCACGTGGTGTTACATGAACCGAAAATTGTATAAGATTCACACTAATATTATATGGAAGCACCAAGATCCGCTTTGTACCGTGTTGGCGTTTTAAGATCTCATTTGTTAGTTAAATTTATTAAATTTTTATTTGTAGTGGACTTGAAAACAATTGTATTTATTCTCATTGACAGCATTGAATTGAACTTGGTTGACTTATACAAGAAGCGACTGCCAACGAATTCGATAAACACCTGGTACTTTTTAAAATATGCGACAATCTACACGGCTTGATGGCTGCATATTTGCATTCAGGTCAAAGATGGTTATTAAAAAAATATTTTTTTTTTTTCTTCAATCAGGTGTTAGAACTGGTATGCGCGAGAGAGGCGGGTGCCGTGTTCGAAGCCGGTGGTTTGCCTTGCGCGTTGTGTTTTATCCGAGAACACGGAGCGCGCGTACATCGGGATACGTTACACTCAGCGATGGCAGTCGTCACTCGATTGTGCGGCAAAGTTGAACCTCAAGATAAGGCTTTGCCCGATTGTGTCGAAGCGTTGTCGGTGTTACTCAGACACGAAGATGCGCACGTTGCGGACGGGGCGCTTCGATGCTTCGCGTCGCTGGCGGACAGATTTTCCAGAAGAGGAACGGACCCTGCGCCATTAGCATCAAATGGATTAGTTTCTGAACTTTTATATCGGTATGCCAGATATAATGCACTTTATACGATATACATTCTTCTTATGCGAATCTGCCTTTTCTAGATTGTCAAATGCAGCGGGCCCTGGCACATCTGCTACCGCGACTTGCAGCAATCCAAAGACACCTCCGCCATCCAGTACTGTGACCACGGTTCCAACTCCGGAACCAAAATCTTGTGCTTCTGTTTCAACTATAATTAGCCTTTTATCGACGCTTTGTAGAGGATCACCGTCCATTACGCACGATCTTCTACGTTCAGAATTGCCAGATGCGATAGAAAAGGCACTAAAGGGAGACGAACGATGCGCTCTTGACTCTATGAGGCTGATTGATCTTTTACTAGTCTTACTGTTTGAGGGAAGATCAGCTTTGGGACGTAGCACTACCGGCGGTCCGTCTGGTCCGTTACTACCAAGGCTGAGACGTTTGGATAGCGCTGGAGAAAAATCGCACAGACAATTGATCGATTGCATACGCTCCAAGGATACGGACGCGTTGATAGAGGCGATTGATACAGGAGGGATTGAAGTTAACTTTATGGATGATGTTGGACAAACTTTACTCAATTGGGCTTCGGCGTTCGGTACGCAAGAAATGGTCGAATTCTTGTGCGACAGAGGAGCGGATGTTAATAAAGGTCAACGGTCGTCCAGTTTACATTATGCAGCTTGCTTCGGAAGACCGGCTATCGCCAAAGTTCTACTTAGACACGGTGCTAATCCTGATTTAAGGGACGAGGATGGTAAAACACCTTTGGATAAAGCCAGAGAGCGCGTTGACGAAGGACATAGAGAAGTTGCAGCCATTTTACAGTCGCCTGGCGAATGGATGTTACCGCCTAGTCAAGAACATAGGAAACTTGAGACAGAAGTAGAAGAATTCACGGAACCTAAGGGAGATCCTGAAATGGCGCCTGTTTATCTAAAAAGATTGTTGCCTGTGTTTTGTGCAACCTTTCAGTCGACTATGTTACCAAGTGTTAGAAAAGCGAGCTTAAGTTTGATTAGAAAAATGGTGCATTACATCCAACCAGAATTACTTATAGAAACTTGTGGATCTGATAAAACCGGCGGATGTGGAGCTATGCTTGTTGAAGTAATTGCCAATGTTTTAGACAATGAGGTAAGCATAATAATGATGGGCTAGTAATTAAATGTTGAGCTTTTATCAACTATTGTTGTTGACACAACAATAGTTTTATGCGTACTTATATACATTCATTCAGCGACATCGTTTCACGTCGTTTTTATCAACAAGTATTAATATTAGTAAAATTATTCAAGAAAAAGCGCTATGCCTATGTACAAAGAAATTCAGATATAACTGAGACTTGTATATTTCAAACAAAAGAAAAGAGAAGAAATTTCTCTTTTCCCTTTCATATCGTGGCCGCGAAAACGACACATTCGACAAAGTTATGCACACACCCATTATAAGCATTTGTATAACAGAATTCTCCTCTTATCGAGAAATATGAGAGAAATATTCTCAAAAATCCGATTTCGAAGACAAAATGTTACGGAGATCCCAACATGCATGCAGGCAGAGAGACAATTGATTCAAGTGGCGATATCAGTGATTTAGTCAAGATTGTTCGCAGGAACATGAGATAAAGGCGCCATTGTCATCACCATTGTCTACAGCTTTTAAGACGTTTGGCCCAAAATTATCCGGCCTTACGACTCGCAAGTCTTCGAGTTTTCGCAACTATATTCTCGACATGACGGTAACGTCTATTGCATATTTCCATCACCTATTTGCGAAAAACTCCTTTAGACATTTTTCATGCTGTTCCTAATTCCGCAAGTTTCCTTCAATTTAAGTTTTTTTTTTTTTTTTTTTCTCCCCAATTAATAGCTACGTCAAGAATCGCTCGTTTAATACATTTAATATTACTATAAATGCATTCATGTAATTTACTTAAAGCGTGAATTTAACTTACTAAAATTTTACTTACGCATGTCTTTTTGTATTTCCATTTGATATTACATATTCGAGTCACATTTGATATTTAGAATCATAATAGTAGATATCTTACGTCTATATTGTAGTTATTGCCTTTATATAGATTTGACTCAAAAGTGATAATTGATAATCTCTCTCCCTTCTCCCTCCCCCCCCTCTCTCTCTCTCTCTCTCTCTCTCTCTCTCTCTCTCTCTCACACACACACACACACACGCACACGTTTGATACATTGCTTATAGCTTGTCTCGTACAAAAAAAGCGGCGAACTTTAATATTAATATTAATACAAAAAAACAAAATTTACGAGCTAATGATCGAAATTGTGAAAGAGACGGGTAAAGAGATGCAAGTTAAAAGTTTTGTCAAAGAATTAAAAATTTGTCAAGGCATACCATATCTACTTTAGTCTACTGCCTGTTTGCCGTTGATGGGATCTAAAAATGTTTACATTTATTCTAGCTGATTGTAATTTAATAATAATGATTTGAACTCGCATTAGTAGGCATTCAGTGCACATTAAAATTATTGTACATAAATTTACAGAAAAATGTGTATTTAATATAAATATAGAAACAGGTAATTATAAACTGCGAAATTCTTACTTTACTCGTACTTTATTGTACTGTTTGATAAAAGATATATTGGATATTTTATTACTTGAAATATTTCACTTTTACATCTAAATTAAAACAAGTGTACAACGTCATTAATGTGCACTGAGTGCGCACTAGTACGTTTAGTCGTATTCATTATAAGAAAGAACAATATACAACAATATATAACCGTTTACTACATCTGTTACGTTTTGCAGTTTTGCAAAGTAAACTGCAGTTTTCTTAATTTGTTTTTATAACGAATGTAAATTATATGACACATAGCGTTTGTCTTTGTTTTTTATATTTCAGAAAAAAAGTTTTTATTTCTATTAATAACTCCTCTTTTATCTCTCGGTTTTGTACTACACATATTTTTAAAACTATTTAAAAACTTGTGTTCTAATATTAACAGGAAGATGAGGATGGTCATTTAGTCGTCCTGCAAATGATACAAGATCTGATGATTAAAGGCAAAGATGAATTCTTAGAACATTTCGCACGTTTAGGAGTATTTTCAAAAGTTGCCGCTTTAGCCGGGCCACAAGAAACTACACCCGAGCCAGAAACGGAATCGAATCAATCGGGAGAAGAGCAAAGAATGGAAGATGCGAAAGAATTATTAATAGGAAGAGCGTATCATTGGAGAGATTGGTGCATATGTCGAGGACGTGATTGTCTTTACATCTGGTCCGATGCGGCGGCTCTAGAACTATCGAACGGAAGTAACGGATGGTTTAGATTTATCCTTGACGGCAAACTGGCAACTATGTACTCTAGCGGAAGTCCGGAAGGTGGAACGGACACATCGGGTGAGCATGCATAAACACCCACCTGCGTGCAAACACACACATATCTACACACACACACACACACACACACACACAAAACGCACGTACGCTTGATCTTATATTTGCAAAAATCAAAAATCGATCTCGCACCATTTTTCATATTTTTTATTTCGCTGTTATCTACCGTCTTCATCTCTCTTTTCCTCGTTAATAATAATCGTATATTTTCAATATATTTTCTTCGACGGCACTTGAAACGCTACGTTTTCCATTTGTGATTAACTTTCATTAGGGGAACTATGTAAAATTTAACTGGTTTTACTAACTGCCTACAGGAAAGGGGAGGAACACAGAGTCGCTTACTACTGAAGGTAGGTTACATACGTGTTTAACGACTCGCACATTGTATACTACTTCTTAGTACATATACTAAATAACGCGATATAAAAATATTTATTTATAACTTCTCTTCGTCTTAATTTTCTTTTTGTAATATGTAAAATAGCATAGCATTCGCGCGCGTTGCATTCTCTTTCATACTTGAGACTTACAAACTAAGAAATAAGTCATCTAACGATATGTTTGTATCATTTTACAGAAAATCGTGGTGAATTTTTGGAGAAATTACAAAGAGCGCGTAGTCAGTTAAAGGTGAATTTTGTAAGTCAGCCTGTACTCTCTCGGCCTGGTACTACACGCCTGGTCGTAGGAAATTGGGCGTTATCCAGTAGAAAGGAAAGCGAATTATGTATACATAATAGTGATGGCCAACAACAGGCAACCATTCTAAGGGAAGACTTGCCAGGTTTTATTTTTGAATCAAACAGAGGTACTAAGCATTCTTTTACAGCGGAAACAAGCTTAGGTATGAGAGAAGTATCTCATTATTATCAGCGTACTACTATCTAACTTAATGTTAGATAGTTAGAGTCCTTGAGAGAATTTTTATTACATGATTATTTATTTCACATAATTCACATCTTCTCAGGTCCAGAATTTGCAGCAGGTTGGACTGGTAAAAGGGGGAAAAGATTAAGATCAAAGATCGAAGCGATTAAACAGAAGGTTAAAGTACAAGCGCAGGAGATATACGAGCGTTACTTTAAAGTAGCTCAAGCTCAGCCACGCGGTGTAGTTGCTAAACTCGGTGCCATTGTTAATCAAATAGAAAAAGCATCTCAAAAGCAGCAATCTGGAAGTCGCGAATGGCGCAATATACTGCAAACTGCGTTAGAACAACTTAAAGTATTATTGAATGAAGAGGGTCGAGTATCTGCATACGAGCTGCACTCGAGTGGTCTTGTACAAGCGTTGCTCGCTTTGTTGGCTGCACCTCCTGGACCCTCGCCCCCGACATTGAGAGCGACCAAACTTAGGATGCAGAGGATAACTGCATTCAAGAGTTGTTTTCAAACAAAAGACACGAATAAAGAGCCTAACTCGGCTAAGATTTTAGTTCATAAATTGGTTTCGGTGCTGGAATCGATAGAAAAATTGCCGGTATATCTATATGACACACCTGGATCAGGCTACGGTTTACAGGTACGACTTACAAAACAAATAATCAATGTGTGCACATGGTGGATAAATGGTAAATTTCTTTCTTTTCTCTTTCATGCGTGTATTTCGATTTCGCATTTTTTTTTTTTTTTTCCACAGATCTTGACGAGGAGATTACGCTTTCGATTAGAAAAAGCTTCTAGCGAGAGCGCGTTAATAGACCGATCTGGTCGCAGCTTAAAGATGGAACCATTAAGTACGATACAACAATTGGAGAACCATTTGTTAAAAATGGTTGCCAAGCAATGGCACGATCATGATAGATCTACATTCGCTTTTGTGAAAAGATTGAAGGAAGAAAGTAGAATAACGTTCAAGTATCAGCATGACTTCGACGAAAATGGTTTGCTATATTGGATCGGAACAAATGCTAAAACTTGTTCCGAATGGGTAAACCCGGGTCAATATGGCTTGGTTGTCGTCACATCGAGCGACGGAAGAAACCTACCGTACGGTCACCTCGAAGATATACTGAGCCGTGATTCGTCGGCATTAAATTGTCACACCAACGATGATAAAAGGGCATGGTTCTCGATAGATCTTGGCGTTTGGATTATTCCAAACGCTTATACCTTGAGACATGCGAGGGGATATGGCAGAAGCGCATTGAGAAATTGGATGTTTCAAGCGTCAAAAGATGGTGTTACCTGGATAACATTGTACGCCCATGTAGACGATTGTTCCTTAAATGAGCCGGGCAGTACGTCTACTTGGACGTTGGAGCCACCGAGTGAAGAGACGCAAGGCTGGCGACATTTACGTCTACAGCAAATTGGCAAGAATGCTTCTGGACAGACGCATTATCTCTCTGTGTCTGGTTTTGAAGTTTACGGGGAAGTTACTGGAGTGTGCGAAGATTTAGGTCGAGCAGCCAAGGAAGCCGAAGCTGGTGTACGGAAGCAGAGAAGATTTATTAAGACACAAGTTCTTAAGCATTTAGTTGCCGGAGTTCGAGTGGCTAGAGGTCTGGATTGGAAATGGAGGGATCAGGATGGCGTACCACCAGGTATGTATACTACTCAGTAATTTCCATTAATTTCAATGTTTTGTACGTCTATGTACAAACATTACTACAGAGGTACAGTAGAGAGAGAGAGAGAGAGAGAGAGAGAGAGAGAGAGAGAGAGAGAGAGAGAGAGTACGCAC